GGGGGGGTTCAATTCTATTTCTCCAAATGGCTCCTGGGAAGTAGTATCCCACTCAGTCTGGGTTTAAGCATCCCTGTTTCCTATATATAACAGATATTTTACTTATCTTGAAGTCAAAAAAATACACCAGTGTAATGTACTTTTCATTGGTATAAAAAAATCACCTGGTTCCCTTGATAAAATCCATTCCAATATACTCCAAAATGTGTGAAGTACAAATTCTCACTAATGAAACACAAGATGCACTGATATAATCAGTTCCAAGAACTTCAAAACTTAGTAATCCTTCCCATCCCTATATTACATGGATTCATCAAAGAAATTGTAATTTGCGTTGCTATAACCTGCCGGCACTGATATATAATCTGTTCCAAGATCGTAACAACCAAAATTTTACAGATCCATATTCTAAAACAAGAACTCACCCATGAAATCCTGACATTACGTATCCCATAATACTGGGTTTTTTAAATTTGTAAAATATCAAACTTCATGTTTACGGGACTGACCCTTGTAAAGAAATTTGAGTTGATACAATCAGTTCTGGGATTTTCAAAACAGAAATATTACTAGTCCTCACAATAAAACAACTCATCTAGGCAATGTTATTCACATCAGATTTATTGAGCTGCTAGATCTTGAGTACTGAAATATAACCAACCCTAACAAGTAAACGACTCACCCATGAAATATAATTCGCATTGATATAATCAGTTCCAAGATCCTCATTTCCATCAGAAAGAACCACCCTGGTGTAATCATCTGTCGCAACCGAGAAAGAAAAAAGAAGTAGAAGTTAAGGACATATCCTGAAAATATTCACAATAACACATTTTGGTGAGGTCTAGTCAAGGTCTCCTTTCTTTAAAATACATTAAATCGTTCAAAACGTGGGGGGGGGGGTTGTGTGTGTTAATAAAGGTGTTATCTTTATTACCTAGAACTGATTATCTAGATCTATAAATAAATAATCCACTCGCTAATTTTTTCACTGATGTAGTAATCCGTGTTTAAACCAGCATACTAAGAGTAAAATATTACCCTGTAGAGCAAAAAAATACTGACTAGAAATAGAAGGAATATACCACACCAGAGCATCTAACAACCATCTACTTTCAGTCATATAAAGAAAAAACTTGAGACAGTGAAATACCAATAGAGGAAACAAAATGGAAGAGCCTTCTTTGTGTTATACTTGACTTATCTCAAACGGTTCAAACCTAAACAAAGTATACGGCACAAGGTCTATAAAACGAGTTTTCAATATGCTAATAGTGAAACAACAGCCAGATTTCACAAGGTACAGCAAAAAACAATAAAACACACTGATGAGCAGACTAAGGATAAGAAGAAAGAGGAAAAAGAGGAGGAGGAAGAGGAGGACGAGGACAAGGAGGAGGACGAGGACGGGAAAAATAAGAATACGAGGTGGAGAAGGAGGAAGAGACACAGAAAAGGGAGAGGAGGAGAGGAGGAGGAGAAAAAGGGGAAGAACAAGGACTAAAAGAACAAGCACTGTACTCACATGGCAGTATATTCTTGTATCGGTTCTTGGCCTTGTTCTCCGGCTTGCTTCCCTTCTCCCTGGAGTACTTCATACCAATGAACTCGCACTGCTGCAGTTGCTGTAAGAGACATAACACACGAGATTAGAAAATACAGTCAAACCTGTGTAAGATGGCCACCCATTGTCAAGGAGAAAAGTGACCGTTAAAGACAGGTGGCCGTCTTAAGCAGGACTGATCAAGAAGAAGAAAACAAACCATTCTCATCTGAGGTCCCAATCAAAAGTAGTCACATTGTTGTTGTTGTTGTTGTTGTTGGTTTGTATTTTGTTTATAATTTTTATTTTGTTGCTGATTTTGCGCAAGGGTGACAATAAAACAAAATGTATCAGACGAGGAAGACCGAGTGCCATGTTAAAGCAAACACATGGGTCGCCACCACAAGTTCATGTTGACGTCCTTTATTACTTTGTTACAGACTGGGTAAAGAGGGAACACTCATCTCACTTATGATTTGTGTATGAGTTCTGGGCAGGGCTTAAAGGTTATGAGGGATCACATGCTTACCTCACCAGCATCTGAAAATTGGTACCTATTGGTCAACAGTGGGAGGGGCCTACACAGAATGATCGGTTGGAGGGACTACCTAACAACAACGACAGGTGATTGAATTATGACGGCTCGCCCACAACACCAGGGGCCAATGCACAATTTATGACAAAACGTAATGGAGTCACTAAGGTGGCCGTCTAAGACAGGTGTTATTGCTTAGTGTGATAGGGGTCGTGTGTCAAAATATGGTGGCCGCAGCCGCATTGGACAGGTGCC